GGGCTATAACAAGTGTTGTAAAAAGAAAAATGTATCGTAGATTCTTCTTAGATAGATCTCGGGTTAGAGATCAGAAGATAATTGGATGCAAGACACGATTGATATTAATAATAACTCGGAGCATTAGGGATTTTCGTAATCGTTCGGCCGAGTTTCAATGAGAATTACGTCAACAGAAGTTTCCTCCATATTTGTCTTTCAATTCCACGCTCTAATAATACGTTCACCATCCATTCACCATCCATCAGGAACGTTAATTAAAAAGAAAACGCAAACAAAAGGGAATAATCCTTCGAAAAAAACATTACTTGCCTCCCTCCACTAATTTCAAATTTTTCAAAAAACTTTGAATAAACTTAAACAAATCTTCTTAATTAAATTTATGAAAATAATAATAATGATAAAATCTTACAAAGATAAAAAAATTCGACAAATTCGAATAAATAAATAAGACGCAAACAAATTAATTAAGGTATCAGCGTGACTTCTCCATTTCGAAATCTGCATAATTCAGATCCTTCCTCTATCCCAGAGATTCGCCATCCCTTCATCCGGGAAAACAAACGTTCAATTGCACGGAACAACAAACATCTTCTTCAAACAAACCATCCCTAAACGATAAACGTTCCATAGCCCGGAACGTTCACCGGTAAGCGGAATGTCACCCCCTACTCCCATCACGAACCCCCCTCGAACGATCTCCTTAACCCAAAGACCCATCGAGTGCACAATGCCTGCACGCGGAGTCTCGTTAACTGTGACCCTGATACTTTCCAAAATCTTCCTTGTACCAAGCCCGATTCATCCATCGAGGAAAAGGAGGGGTGGGTAGGTAGGAAGATTCTTTCGACTTTACGAACGGAACGTTCCTTTGTGAACGATTTTGTGTGACGTTTCGCTCGATTCTTTCCATTTGTCAGTGAGCTTTCCTTACAGATCGAGAGGATATTGGGATCTTGGTAGAGATTGTAGTTAGGGTCCATAGTTGGATGGATTTTACACAACCGTCTTGATTTTTACTCATAACTCGGTTTAAGAGGTCGAGACATTAAAAAAATTGGCTACTTTGAAATTTTCTCTGACGCATCGATTCAAATATAATGATCTATGAAGAAGCATATTTAAATGAATATTTGTGTAAATAAATCGCTATTAAAAAAGAAAAATTAAGATCAAAATCCATCTCCAATCATCCATTTCTCTTAAAATTCTCCAAAAAAAAAAAATAAATTTCAAACAAACGATTTAAGATAAAAAAAATTTTACGGATTCCTCCTCGCTGAGAACTCCTCGTCTGAATTCAAGATTCGCATCGAAATTGCTCGGAGATCCTCCAAGCGGATTCGCACGCTTCTAAAAATCTCATCTTACAGAGCGTATCTATCTAACGAGGTCGCGTTTCAGTTGCATTTTTTCGATTCTCTCTGAATATACGTTTCCCTCGCGAACGCACGAGGAGGAAGGAGGGGGAAGAAAGAAGAGAGAAAGAAGGGAGAGAAGATAAAAATAAACAGAGAGGAGGGTAGGAGGGAGGGTGGTGGTAGGCTGTTCAGCTCGCAATGTACGCAGAGAAGCGTATCGATCGTCGTTGCCTTCCATGGTTCTCTTCCGCCACGAGACAGACGAGGAGCATACGATAACCCAGCCTCCCCTCCCCCTCGCAGTCTGTACCACGTTTTATCCTCTGTTTGCACCCCTTTTCCGCCCCACACCCTCCATCACGACCGCTTAATTCATCCCCCTTCTCCTCTCCCTTTCTTCTTCTTCTTCTTCTTCTTCCCTCTCATCCTTCTTACCTCGCCATCCTCCACCCTCCAGCCAGTTGCTTCTTCGTGTTTAGGAAGCGGATACGAAAAAGGATCTGAGACAGAGACGTCTCTCTTCGAACGCGGTGGATCGATGCCGCAGATTTTTGTCAAATTTCAAAGGGAAGAGGGTATTTTAATGAGGGTTTTGCCGGGGAGATTTTTTACTCGAGGAGGAATTTCTTTTACTCTCTTACTCTTGACTTTGGTTTTTCTATACCCTTTTGGATGGAAGGAATGGATCGACGAAAAATATTTATCTTTGTATTCTACTTTGGAACGATATAATTTATAATTGATATTTGTTGATATTATATGTTATCCATCCAATTTTATTAAATTCACGTACGAAATGTACGAAAGGAAGATTCGATCGAATCGAAATTTTCGAATAATGGAGAAATTTGACGATTTACAAAGATTAACGGCAATGCCAGACGTGCATCATCATACTCTGCATCGAATATTCCGTAAAAGAAAAACCTGGACAAAGGACAAACTCGAAAGGAAAGAAAGAAAGAGAGCAAAAAGAAAAAAATTGCTTTATCAGAGAAAAAAAGCAGAGAGTCCAGAGAATCTCCAACTTTTGAAGATTTAGTGTACGCAAAGTTCGTCAAAGTAACCGCAAAGAATAAAAGAAAAAACCCGAGAGAAAAAAGATTTGAGAGGCGCGCGGATTTTCAAAAAAAAAAAAAATCCAAGCTCTCTCGCGACATTGAAAAGAATATCATTGCGAATACGGTGTTTCATCCAAGAATAACACGCAACGAGCTAACTAACCAAATTGTCGCGTCACGTCGATTCGTATGCAAATTGGCCCACTCCTGATCCGTTCGAGACGACTTTCTCGAGAACGAGCGTGGAGAGATCAAAGGAGTTCGAGTGAACGGCGCGGTGAACCGCGTCGAATAAATTCACGAATCGCAACAGGTTGCGCGTCGACAAAAGACGCGAAGAAATTTTGGAAGGAAGAGTAGGGGGAGGGAGATGGAGATGGAGGGAAGTGGAAAATTGGGAGGAATCGTACGAGTTTGGACGAGATCGTATTACTTGGTACGATAAACGAGCTTTTACGAGGTTTCCCTTTAGACCACAAAGGAAACAGGATAGGATTGTTTGGACGATGATCAGATATGGGGCACGAGAAAGGGGTGGAAGATCGTTCCTTGAGCCGGCGGATTTGTGAACTCGATACGAGGGATGTCGAAGATCGAGTGTCGTGGAAACCGTTTCGATCCTTGTTGGAATGAATTCGGATATTTAGAATTTCGTGGAATCCTTTTTGAAAAGATTTTTAACTCGATACGAGGTAAATTGTAGGTTAACTATTTTTTCTTCTATTTATTCTTCTGAATAAAGGATATAATCGAAAAATAATATATCGAAAAAAAAAATTAAATTCCAAAGTGTGTTCATAGAAGTGGATTTTGAATTGAATTTTCGGATTCTTTTAATTCTTATGAACAATATATAAGACACAATAATAATTTGTGTAAACGTTTTTTAAAAAGAAAAATTGTCGAAGAGGCAAAGTTAAATTCTGAAAGTATTCGTGGAATTGGATTTTAAATCTGGAGGATGAGTCTATGTTAAGTTGAAATAACGAGCGCTGTGAAAATTCAGCTTAATAAGATTACTCGGAAATATGAACGGTCTTTTCGAGCATAATCTTGTAATTCTTTGGAGGAATGTTCGATACGTTTCTCTCCTTCTTTTTAACCTCTCGTTTCTCTTTCCACTTACAAACTTTAAATCGCGGAATATATGCATTTTCTTTTGCAGAAACACGTAAGACATTTATCATTGATTAAACGGGAATCATTTAACGTAGGCAATTATTGCATGATTCGGATATATGAGACGAAGATACCATTAGATATTTAAGTGGTCGTCATGCAGCAGGACATACCATCGTACTTGGTATGTCCATTAATGTAGCCTCTAGCACGCGATTCTCTCGGTAATTAGGTCAACGCCTGCGCTCGATCCATTGTGCGTGTTATACACTGTGGGGACGAGACTATAATTTCCCTCGTCTCTTTTGCAATCACCCTTGTTGCATCCCCTCGTTAAGAAAATTTTAATTTCGACGTAAAATTGCTGAACAGGGAATATTATTCGTAATTTATATATTTTGTCGTATAACAAAAATAATAAATAGGATTTATCTTTATCGTTTTTAATTTTAATTTATATATATATATATGTATATTCATTTATTCTTTATTCATCACCTGTTGAATTAAACCCAACGTATTCGAAATCCGCCTAAATTAAACACACCCCTTTAACGAACAATCTCTCCAATTCTCCAGCGACTCCTACTAAACAACCCCTTCTGCCACGCTTCTAACTCACCCCCTCCCTCACTCACCACGTCCCGAACATCATCAATTGCAACTGAGCTCATAAAACCATCACGAACCTACAGCTACAGCCAATCAAACCTCTCGTCAAACCAAACATCAAACACGGGTATCGATCATCGGGCGGTAAAGCTTGGTATTCATCAAACGTTTGCCAATGTCCGCCGACTAATGCGCGAATATTTGTCGGCGAAACGCGTGTGCCGAGTATCTATGGAAAACAAACGTTTGTGGAATACAATTGCACGTGAGAATTTACGTCATCGATTCGAAAAGCTGTGGCACGCGAAATTGGAAAATAGAATTTTGATTGGAAAAGAACACTTGATTGATGATCGAAAATTGCGTATTCATTTTTATATTATTAAACGTTTGTTAATTTCTTTTTCTTTTTACTATCTGCTTCAATACTTTTTTAATATTCTTATTAAATATTAATATAAAATTCATTGATGTTCATTATTTACAATAAATCTACCAGTGTGATTGCTTGGAAATACATTATTATCAATGATTCTTCAGAAAATCGTAAGATCATATTTTACGCAAGTTTTTGAGGAATTCGTACGTATCTAAAACTTTCAGCCAACTAAAACTCAAACCTAACTCTTCATCATCTAACTCCATCCCTAAATCGAACTCTTTCTCCTCCTCGCATCTCCTTTCCCGCGCAATTTTAAAAAACGTCTTAAGCCAAAAAAAAAAAAAAAAAGAAAGCCCTCCTCGTCCTCCGCATCCTTATCCTTAAATCGAACCGTCCCTTTTCGCGTATCCGATACTCGAAGTACGTACTCCACCCCATCCGATCATATCGAAATTAGCATCTTACCTTGCGTGTTGCCGTTGGGCTGGCCAGGCTGCGGTATCCCCGGATAAAGGGGCGAGGGATGAGGCGAGGGTTGATTGCTGGGCGGTCCTGTAGAATGCGGATTGGCAGTCGTGGGGGTCGGCGTGGCCGATGCTACTTGCTGGGATTGTTGGGATTGCTGCACGGTGCCCACGGCCGACGTGGGTGTTGCTGCAGGGGTGCCGCCACCCCCGCCACCACCGATCCCTCCAATGTTCGGTTGCTGCTGCTGCTGCTGCTGCTGTTGGTGCTGGTGCTGTTGCTGCTGCTGTTGCTGGGGCGTTTGTTGCGGCGTCGGTGGCTTCTGGCTGTCCGGCGAGTCGCCACCCGTCTCTGGAAACGAGCAACGAACAGTTGAACAGTTAGGTGGAATATTAATGAACACGGGCTTGGGTGTCTGGAACAGTTCTACGGATGCGTCTGCTAGTCCACGCGGATGGATTTCGGAGGGTGGTCGGGGCTAGAGTGGGTGTAGACGGTTATATCCGATTTGGTGAGGGAGGAGGAGGGGGAGGTTGCAAGAAGGATGGATGGAAAGAGATAGAGAGAGAGAGAGAGTTCAATTATTTGGGTTGTGTCGCGTTTTGGGAAGATGGGGCCGTTTTGCTGTTTGCTTTTGGACGAGGATAGTGGCGAAGGATTGATGGAACGAGAGTGATACAAGGTATGGTTGTAGAGGGATGGATGATCGATAGGAGGAATTTTAGGTGGAATGTTCATTAGGTTTTTTTATCGTTGAAATTTTAATGTTCGATCATATTTGAAAATTATTACACGATCTTGGAATTTGGTCAATAAGTATTCCGAATGAAAGAGTCATTTTTCACATCCCCAATCACGGAATATATATGCGTAAACAGGATGATTGATATGGAACGTAATCGATAATTCATTAACGTGTCTAGTCTGGTCATTCTAGTCAGTTTAGTCATATAAAAGCTTCTGGTCCTGACATGCTAATTTTATCGCGAACAATTCCTATTCGGGGATGGTAATTAATTAGAGATTTCGGTCTATTCAACTCGTGGAACGCGCACAGTGTTTCGAATTCAGAATGCTTTCCAAAGAGGAGGAAATATGAATAATGTTGAAAGCTGTTGAAGAAAATCAATATCTGTCTCAACTTCTCCGACAGAAAACACGTTCGACGAGCAATGTAACGACGGGTGGTGAGGATCTATTAATCTATAAAGTTGAACGAGAGACACGTTTTGGATCGATTTGTATCGTTATTTATGAAACAATTGACTGATTGTACTTCCATTTTACACCCTATTATTAACGAGGCTTTAATTTCATTATATACTGAACAAATATAAATACGATAAAAATAGAACGAAGAAATTTTGAAACGTTAAATTTCACATGAATCGATCCGTGAAATACATTGAATTAATTCCCATAATCTAATTTGCAAGTTCTACGCAAATTGTATGCAATGGAGTGAACTTTACATATTAATGGAAGCATATATCATCTTGCAAAAAATTATATTTTTTTTCTATTTAACTCTTTAAACCGGATATTTATCTTATCACTCCCGTCGGTAAGAACGACCGTACCATTATCATCTCACGGTAAAATCGAATTTTAAAGTCGATTAAAAAATCTCGAAACCACCACGATTAACGATTCTTCAAAAAAAAAGAAACATTTTTATCATGTAATAATATAAACAACAGTAAACGCATAACAGAACGATGACAGCATTTTTATTACAGCAAAATTAGATTTAAATCTTGATCTAATTAAAAATAATCCCTCTATAATATGTTTCTCTTTTTTTTCGAGAAACGAGACATAACACACTCGCCGTCCAACGATTCCGGAAATTGAGCCCACGTCTGCGCGCGATAACGAGGCGCGAAATCTAATTACGTTCTTCGTCTTGCCATTCGCGTCTCGTTTCCACCCACAGACCATGGTCCCTTATTTCCTGATCAGTCGGAGGCTGGACAATTTCCATTGGACCAGACACGATCCCATCGCGGAAATTCGCGAATTCGTCCATGTCGGATAAAACTCCATTCAATCTGCCGTTCCCCCGAAATTGGAAACTTTCGCGATATCTCCACGGTTATTTCGAGTTTGTGCATGTAGATGCATACGTGTACACGATTTTATGGAAATCGATTTGTGCTCGTTGCTAATGGTCAAAGTTGACGAGGGAAAGGAGAGGGTTGAAGAGGAATTTAAGATAATTGCGATGCAAGAGAAAGTTGAGTTTTAGCACAGATCTTAGGAAATATTCACTCGCAGATATTGCAGAGAGTTTTCTATAATAAAAAGTGACACACGTGTGGTAAATGAGGGAGAAACTTACCATTTTCGGGAAACGACGTGGACCTTATGACGGGCAACAGGATTCCTTTCTGTACCAGCTCGTCTCTGCTTGCTCGTACAGAGATTTTCCTCTCGAGCGCTGCAATCGGGAAAAACAACCCTTGGTTAACAATCTGGTTTACCGATGAAGCTCGATTTATTTATTTGATCATCACGAACGTCTTTTTAGCTTCTTATTTTTTTAAATCTTTTTGAAGGATCGATAGAAGAAAAAGGTAGGATTACTCACACAATGAGGCAGCCTCGAATTTATCCGATTTCTTTTTCCGTTTCCACTTCCAGGGTTTGAAGAGTCTACCGAGGGCTGAAAATTTACTTTTCCTCTCGAGGGGTGGTGTCCGCGCCCCAGAGCCCAAACTGTTCGTTCGCAATGCCGCCCCATTTTGTTTTTTCGCTGCAACAAGAAAAATAGAGTGACGATTAGGTTAATTATTTTCTCGATGTAGAAAAACGGTTGTTGGTAAAAGAAACAAAAAAAAAAGGGATGCAACTTCATCAACCGTTGCACTCCACTCCACGTGTTATCGACTTGGGATACGATTCTATTCCATTTCCAAGATTTTCCAGAAAAACCAGGAATTTCTACTTTACCGACGAGGGATGAAACATCCCCTAGAAAACGCGTTACCATCTTTGTACCGCCTCAACGAAACAATTGCTGAAGGGAAACTTTATTACCACTGGTCGAAATAAATTTGGTTGAAAACAAATTTATTATTTCGTAATCAGATGTTAAATTACGAATAAAAAAAATTAATATTTAAATATAATTAATTCATTCGCACGTTACACAAATGAGATTGTTCGCAGAACAGAAGAGGAATTCTTTTCTCCGGGACAAAAATGCTTTAAAAATTCAGAATAGAATGAATATAATATATCTGGTAAAAGAAGAAATTGAAACACAGTTCTGTTTCACGAGATTAAAAAATTCATTTCGAAAAAAGGGGAGGAAAAAAAGAGTGAAGAAAAAGAATCGATCCATTCCCCCGTTAAAATCTCATGAAAAATTGTTTCATCAAAGTTCTATTAACCTTTCCTCTCTTCTTATTACTTTCCAGAAGAAGAAAGAATTCTATTTCTGATACACGCAATACAAGAAGCGTAAGCAACGTAACGCGCAACAATAATGCAACGAAGGACGACTTCCTCCGGAAGTGAAACTTACTTTCCGGGGTTATTGTACCTCTTTCGAGATAGAATACGCTTTTCTGAAATGGATATTGGCGGAGAATTGTATTGAACGTGGCCACATCTCTCTCTCTCTCTCTCTCTCTCTCTCTCTCTCTCTCTCTCT